GAGAGAGAGAGAGTGTGTGTGTGTGTATGTATGTGTGAGAGTGTGTGTGTGTGTGTGAGAGAGAGAGTGTGTGTATGTATGTGTGTGAGAGAGTGTGTGTGTGTGAGAGAGAGAGAGTGAGATAGTGTGTGTGTGTGAGAGAGAGTGTGTGTGTGTGTGTGAGAATAGCTAAGCTCTAGAAAAAAGCCTAGAAATTGTCACTTTTGCTTTTTAAGGATTGCTTTACTTTAGTTTTTAGGCATTAATAAGGGATATTTATTTATTTGTAATATATTTTAATATAAAATAAAACATCAAAAAACAAAATCACACTTTAAATTTGATGTCCATTTTATAAATAAATGCATTACTCTTGTAATAATAAAGTGTAAATAAAAGTAGCGCCTCAGAATACTACATTTTTACGTAAGTACATTATACTCCATATACACAATAATATACCGTTATATATACTGTGAATGCACAGAAACACAAAAATAAACATCGTAATAGTGAGCAATGATAATGTTTACAGACAGATTTAGAGGAATTATATTTGTATTATATTTCATATGATGTTGCCGGAGCCCATCTCAGGGCCTGGCCAGGAGCTGCTGCGCATGCGCACCGGAGCAGCGCTAATGGCGGAGAGCGTGCGGTCGCCGTTCGACTACCGGGAGCCCCCGACCCTCGACAGCGACGGGGATGGAGGAAAGCCGCGCGGGTCAGTCGCTCTCTCCGGAGAACCGGGTGGTGGCGTTTGTTTCGCGGGGAACGCTCGGATTAGCGCGCGTGCTAGCGGTTAGCCGGTCCGGTTCTGTTGTGTCGTGCTCGCGCACACGCCGCGACGAGAGGAGACACCGTTCCCCCGAGCTCGCGCGTGTCTGCACTGCGTTATTTTGCCATTCACCGGGGCGCGTTAATGTCGCGAGCAGGCGGAGCGACCGTTACAGCAGGTCACCATGGCAACCGGATCCACGCGGTATGTTCGATAATCGATAGTCGAAACCCGGTTTAAGTTACTGGGTGTATTGCTGTATTTGATACAATAACGGAATAGCCAAACAGGCCCAACATAAAATGCATTTCAAATACAATAATTATAGTTTCAGTTAGTATTATTGTTGTCATATTATTCCCAGCTAACCAATATGTTCTAAGAACGTTTTTCTAACGTTCCCGTAAGTTATGAGCCTGATATTTCTGAGTGATTATCCCGCTGATGATTCTGCTTCTGAGTGTCCGCTATTACAGACCAGACGACTCTGAATCAACATTATAGTAACGTTTGCTCGTAACTGTCAGAGAACCTTCCCAAACTGTCGCGAGAGCGTTTTCTGTTAGCGGAGGTGTTTTCTTAGATGTTATTATCATCATTTATTTCTTATTATTATTGTTTTTTAAGTCAAACAGAGTCACTAGTCTGAATCCGTCAGTCAGAACACTGAGTCCTTCTGCGTTATCATATCACACTCGCATTTAGTTTTTATAGCAGGGCAGTTTTATTACATTGTTTCTGCGTCGTGTCATGAAGTGGTCCTGTGTGGTTTCTGACGGTGTGTGTGTGTGTGTGTGTGTGTGTGAGAGAGAGAGAGTGTGTGTGTGTGAGAGAGAGTGTGTGTGTGAGAGAGTGTGTGTGTGAGAGAGAGTGTGTGTGTGAGAGAGTGTGTGTGTGAGAGAGAGTGTGTGTGTGAGAGAGTGTGTGTGTGAGAGAGAGTGTGTGTGTGAGAGAGTGTGTGTGTGAGAGAGAGTGTGTGTGTGAGAGAGTGTGTGTGTGAGAGAGAGTGTGTGTGTGAGAGAGTGTGTGTGTGAGAGAGAGTGTGTGTGTGAGAGAGTGTGTGTGTGAGAGAGAGTGTGTGTGTGAGAGAGTGTGTGTGTGAGAGAGAGTGTGTGTGTGAGAGAGTGTGTGTGTGAGAGAGAGTGTGTGTGTGAGAGAGTGTGTGTGTGAGAGAGAGTGTGTGTGTGAGAGAGTGTGTGTGTGAGAGAGAGTGTGTGTGTGAGAGAGTGTGTGTGTGAGAGAGAGTGTGTGTGTGAGAGAGTGTGTGTGTGAGAGAGAGTGTGTGTGTGAGAGAGTGTGTGTGTGAGAGAGAGTGTGTGTGTGAGAGAGTGTGTGTGTGAGAGAGAGTGTGTGTGTGAGAGAGTGTGTGTGTGAGAGAGAGTGTGTGTGTGAGAGAGTGTGTGTGTGAGAGAGAGTGTGTGTGTGAGAGAGTGTGTGTGTGAGAGAGAGTGTGTGTGTGAGAGAGTGTGTGTGTGAGAGAGAGTGTGTGTGTGAGAGAGTGTGTGTGTGAGAGAGAGTGTGTGTGTGAGAGAGTGTGTGTGTGAGAGAGAGTGTGTGTGTGAGAGAGTGTGTGTGTGAGAGAGAGTGTGTGTGTGAGAGAGTGTGTGTGTGAGAGAGAGTGTGTGTGTGAGAGAGTGTGTGTGTGAGAGAGAGTGTGTGTGTGAGAGAGTGTGTGTGTGAGAGAGAGTGTGTGTGTGAGAGAGTGTGTGTGTGAGAGAGAGTGTGTGTGTGAGAGAGTGTGTGTGTGAGAGAGAGTGTGTGTGTGAGAGAGTGTGTGTGTGAGAGAGAGTGTGTGTGTGAGAGAGTGTGTGTGTGAGAGAGAGTGTGTGTGTGAGAGAGTGTGTGTGTGAGAGAGAGTGTGTGTGTGAGAGAGTGTGTGTGTGAGAGAGAGTGTGTGTGTGAGAGAGTGTGTGTGTGAGAGAGAGTGTGTGTGTGAGAGAGTGTGTGTGTGAGAGAGAGTGTGTGTGTGAGAGAGTGTGTGTGTGAGAGAGAGTGTGTGTGTGAGAGAGTGTGTGTGTGAGAGAGAGTGTGTGTGTGAGAGAGTGTGTGTGTGAGAGAGAGTGTGTGTGTGAGAGAGTGTGTGTGTGAGAGAGAGTGTGTGTGTGAGAGAGTGTGTGTGTGAGAGAGAGTGTGTGTGTGAGAGAGTGTGTGTGTGAGAGAGAGTGTGTGTGTGAGAGAGTGTGTGTGTGAGAGAGAGTGTGTGTGTGAGAGAGTGTGTGTGTGAGAGAGAGTGTGTGTGTGAGAGAGTGTGTGTGTGAGAGAGAGTGTGTGTGTGAGAGAGTGTGTGTGTGAGAGAGAGTGTGTGTGTGAGAGAGTGTGTGTGTGAGAGAGAGTGTGTGTGTGAGAGAGTGTGTGTGTGAGAGAGAGTGTGTGTGTGAGAGAGTGTGTGTGTGAGAGAGAGTGTGTGTGTGTGTGTGTGTGTGTGATGGTCTGACGGGGTCTGTGTGTGATGGTCTGACGTGGTGTGTGTGTCTCTGTATGTGTGTGTGTGTGATGGTCTGACGGGGTGTGTGTGTGTGTGTGTGTGTGTGTTCTGCACAGGCGAGTGTGTGGCAGGGAGAGGGAACACTCATCTGCATCCATCCTGAGAGTTTAGACTGTTTTATCCAGTAAAAATGTAATGGTAGAAACGCTTCTCGTGTCAAATCTTGACTGATTTTGATCAAGTAAGCGTCAGAATAACTGCAGTAATATCTCCAGATGAACACTTACTGGACTGAAGCAGCTCAGCTTTACTTGATTCTCCATCAATCATGTTTTAGAGTCTCAAATCTGATCCTCAGGATCTTTTGAGGAGCGTTAGTTTCCAGAAGCTTTACTTTCACTGTTCCTCAGCGGAGGAATGATCTTCACAAGCCTCCAGAACATCTCACATCTTCTGAGGAGCCTTTATTTCTTCAGCTCTCAATCACTGCATTATATGTTTGGAGCAGTTCAATCTCATCTCACTGAGACAGATTACTGCAGATATAGAGCGACCACTGATATTTAGATCATTTTATGTCAGTATCTGCTGCACTGTTATAAAGATCTAATTGATTTACATCACAAACAGCAGAATTTCATCATATACTGTAAATATCAGCATCTGCAGCAGATTCATATTTTTAGCCTCTGAATAAAACTGAGCTGTTTTTCTCCATATTCTCACTGTATCAGACTCCATGAGCCATGAAAGCCTGATGGATCAAATAAGATACAAAACAATACAGATTTATTTTTATATTTTGTCTACAGGTTCAGTAAACTGTTCAGTTTAAAAAAACTAGATAATTGTGACCATTGTTTCATAAGTGGGGCTGCTGAGGGTTGGTGTTTGTGTTTGTGTAGGCGATGAGCAGTACGCAGAGGGAGCTGGAGACGGTCTTCCTCCGCCGGGAAGCCCATACTACCTCACCGACCCGGCACAGCTCTGGTACATTCACACAGTCACGCCAGGGGCACGGCTTGCTTCGTTAACGCTCCATTCATCAGCGCACATCATTCTGAACACTGATCTGGAAGCTTATTTCCACCACAGAATAAAAATATAAGAAGAGTCTTAGAATAAAAATATAAGAAGAAACTTATCTCAATTCAGATTTTTTTCCCCCTCACAATTGTAAATTAAAAATCTACCAATTCTGACTTTTTCTTGTAATTGCTAGTTTATGCCATGCAATTCTAATGTTTTTTTTGTAATTGTGAGTTTATCTCGCCACTCACAATTGTTAGTTTGTCACGCAATTCTGACTTTTTTCGTAATTCTGAGTACATCTAGCAATTCTGACTTTTTATTGTAAGTGTTAGTTTGTCATGGAAATTCTAACTTTTTTCGCAATTCTGACTTTGAATGTACTGTGTGTTTGTGGCCAGCAGTGTGCCAGAGCTGGCTGAAGAGGGCGCTAGCGGCGTCCGTGGCCCTGTGCTCTTCCACCCCCCGCCCAACTGCAGGATTAGAGAGGTGCATTGTGGGAGTCAGGTCCGGCTCGCCGTCATAGCCATTCGAGACATTGCCAAAGGCGAGGAGATCACAGTGGACTACAGCCTGACCGACTGGGGAGAAAATGCCATGGTAAGCGAGCAGAACGCCACTGAAACACGCTATATGCTCTGTGCATCTGCATGATCGCGAAGCTAAAATATCCTGTTAAATCGCAGGGCTTTCATACTTCCGTGTCCCCACACGGGTTTGAATGTGGATTCAACCCAGAGAGCAACATCAAGAAGGTGATTCATGCAATTTATTCAGCTTTCAGGTGTTGCATAAATCTGAATAAAAAAAATAAAGACCCTTATGACAGGTTTTGTGGTCCAGAGTCACTTATATGATTTACTCTAAAGGTGGCATGAACACTGCAATCTGATGTGCATCACATGCATTTAAACACAATTGCAGTGCATGTGAAAAATAGCAAGGAAAGTGACCAAAAGGAGTTACTCACTTCTGGGTATTTGGTCTGTTTGATTATCTGAAAATAGGAAAGTAAATGGTAAAATATGCTACAATAAATTAAACAAGAAAAGTACCAAGAATATCACAAATTAGATATGGTGTCCTTAAATTCTACTGTATGTCAACATTTTTCTCCAGCCATCAGCCATCTTCTCAAACTTGTAATAAGAAATGCTGTTGTCAGCAAAACTAAAAATAAATTATATATTTTTCTTAAATGCAGTGAAATACCGAAATACAGTGAAATATTAAGTGTAGTTATATCTTTGCTTTATATTTTTATTTAGTAATATTCATTAACATAAAAGCAGGGTTATTATAGTAAACTAAAACAAACATTGTAGTTAAAACTAAAACTCAAATATTATAGTCAAAAAAATTAATTTTTGTCACGTGAAACTAAACCTACTCAAAATAAATGAACAATATGAACAACAGAAAATAAACACCTGCTTGTCATAAGTGAAACATTTTTTTTTTATTTGCTATGATGTGGAGTTATTATTAACTAAAACTAAAACCATAAAAAATATGACCTGAAATAAAATAAACTTTAGCTGAAAAAAAAGAAAAGAAGCTGAAAACCTGAAATAAGTTTTATTTCATTTATTTATTTTGAAAGTCCTAAAATAACTACAACTAAATAAACAAAAGCTTAATAAAAACAAACAAAAAAACAAATACACAACAAAATTCCTAAAACTAAAATCAAAAATAGAAAAAATCTAATTCAAAATATTAATTCCACAAACTAAAATACTGTACAATGAGACTAAAAAATCTGCTGCGATGTTTGTCAAACAACAATAAAATCATCTTCACACTGAGAGTTCGTCTCGGAGTGAACAGGCCCTAATTAGATATTTCTCTTGCGTAGGAACATTTTCCCATCTGTAGCTATTGAATGGTGCATGTTTAACTCCCAGCTGGCTTGTGTCTCTGCAGGAGGAGGAGCCGGGTTCACTCCCAATGTCTCTCAGTGTTTCTGACTACCTCACTCCGTCATGGTCCCTGTCTCCCTCCTCCTCTCCGCTGTCTCACTCCGAGGCCAGCGACTCCGACCGAGAGGAGGATGAAGAGGAGGACGACGACGACGACGACGATGACGAAGAGGACCTGGAGGGCGGCCGTCACTTCCACTCGCTCGCTAGGCACCTGGAGAAACACCACGAGCAGCAGCCCGAGGTCCGAGCCGCCATGGAGCTGTCGCAGCTCCCCAATCAAGACGCCTCCTCGCACCCCTTCTCCTCTCCCGCTCAGCCCTCGGCCGCCCTGGGAACAACCTCCCTGTTCTCCCGTGAGCGAGACGCTTTGTCCTCGCCTCCCAAATCAGGAGGCGTCTCTTTCTCGCTCTCGCTGTCTCCTCCCCACGCCTCCAGCTCCTCGAAGAAGAGCTCGGCGATGATGGTGACGCCTAGGAAGGGCACTAAGAAGAGCCCTGGCGCCTCGCCCAAGCCTCCCGCCCGCAGGGGACGGCCGCCGAAGAAGCAGAAGGAACTGCAGCTGAAGAAGCAGGAGGCAGAGCGAGCGAAAGAGGAGGCGCCTGGGAAACAGGAGGAGCAGGAGTTCGACACGAGGGGAGACGCAAGCGCAGAGCAGAAGAACGGAGAGATGGCCAGGTGAGTTTGTCTCCGTTCAGGTTTCATGGGGAGCTTGTGTTTGTTAGTTCAGAAGTCAGGTGGTCTGGTGGGTCGCGACCTGGAAATAAATCACACGTTGCTTCTGATTGGGGGGAAAAAACTAGGCTATGTGAAATAGGGCTGCACGATTAATTGAAATAGTTTAAAGGGATAGTTCACCCAAAAATGAAAATTCTGTCATTACTTACTCCCCCTCGTGTCGTTCCAAACCCGTAAGACCTCCGTTCATCTTCAGAGCACAAATGAAAATATTTTTGATGAAATAATTTCTGGGTGAACTAACCCTTTAAGTCACTTATAACAGGCAGTTTATCCAACCATTAACCGTCTTCTTGAACTTCTACTGAGAATTGCTGTTGTGGAAAAAAAAAAAGATTCATAATAATTAAATAATAATAAAAAGATAATTAACATTAAAATGATACAAAGTTATAATAAAATCTATTTTTTTAAGTACTCAGTTTTTATATTTGATAGTGAAATGTTACGTAATATATTTAGTTTGTTTAATATGTTAATTTAGTAATAATCATCATCATAATAGAAATAGCAATGATAATAATTACTATTAATATTATTTCAGAATAATATTGATGTATAATCACACATTTTTGGGGGCAAATTGTGCAACACTACAAACAAACTCAGCAAACCTTTTATTGCATTTTAAATTGCAGTCACAGTTTTATCAGAAAATTGTCAATTACATAACAAAACTACTATAGTATTTAATGTAGTAGATAATAAAGGTAACACTTTAAATTAGGGAACACATATTCACTTACATTTAGTCATTTAGCAGACATATTCACTATTAACTATGAGTTTTCTCTTGATAAACTTCTAATTACTGCTTATTGGTAGCAAGGCTAACCAACTAGTTAATAGTCAATAATATTCGCTTATCTAAAGTGGCACCATAATAATTAATAAATGTAGTTGCAACCAGTGTTGGGGGTAACGCATTACAAGTAACGCAAATTAAAACTGGGAAGTAACACAAATGTAACATAATGCATTACTTTCAATAAAAAGTAACTAAGTAATGCAGTTAGTTACTTTTTTAATGGAATAACGCAATATTGTAATGGATTACTTTTAAAAGTAACGTCCCCCAACACTGATTGCAACACATGACATAATGTCCATATGAGTTCAGTGGTCAGTCAGTGGAGTGTCTCTGCTGTCTATATGGATACGTCTGGATATCCTGGATGGTTGCAAGGGTGAATAGCTAATGTTGTGCAGATCTGGGTTTTCTAAATGATGCTTTTGTACTGTGGTAAAGGGTGTGGCTGTGCTCCTGCAGCTCTCGGCGCTCTCGCATCAAAAACAAAAGAAAAATCAATAGAGTTTGGGTGTCACCCAGTGGTTATTTTTGGTATAGTGCCCAAACAAAATCTCACAGGAACCACAATTTTTGTGATATCAACTTCAAATTTGGAACACAACTTGGTTAGACATATGGTTTTGATTTTGTAGCAATTTTAGAGTGCAACATTTATTTTATATAAAATTACAAAAATAAATATTATACTACATTATCTTTAATGTGAACTTAAACTTTTATAACTTTTTTTATACCGTCCTTTTTTTTTAAATGCTTTCACTTCAGCAATAATCTGCTATGTGTCTTCTTTAAAAAGAGACTGACCTTAGGTCTGTATTATGTTGTAACAAGCATTGATAAACTAGTGTTCTGTTTTCAGTGAATTTATACCCCCAAAGGGGCGACGTATCTTGGGGGATACAAACATTAAAATCAAAAATAAGAGTCAAGTTTAAAAAAAAAAAAATCATTAAATTGTATTATCTGAGTTCCCATAGGATGGAAAATAGCAATAAATTAATTTTCTGATGTCTCTCTATGGTTTTGCCCTTTTTAGGGTTAAAGGGTTAGTTCACCCAAAAATGAAAATTAGCCCATGTTTTACTCACCCTCAAGGCATCCTAGGTGTATATGACTTTCTTCTTTCAGACGAATCCAATCGGAGTTATATTAAAAATGATCCATGCTCTTCCAAGCATTAGAATGGGAGTAGGTGGGTGTTTTTGTTCAACAGTCCAAAAGTAGTCATATAAAGCGCATCCATCCATAATAAAACATGGCTCCGAGGGGTGAATAAAGGCCTCCTGTAGCGAATCGATGTATTTTTGTAAGAAAAATGCCCATATTTAAAATGTTATACATACTTTTCTCTTACTCTGCGTGTGCAACGCATACGTCCTACGTCATCCGCCCGTAACGGCTTCCGCCTACGACAGTCAGCAGAACTGTGATAAAAGTATTTCCAAAATTTAAATATGGGTATTTTTTTTACAAAAACACATCGATTCCCTACAGGAGGTCTTTATTCACCCCCCTGGAGGCACGCTTTATTATGGATGTGCGCGCTTTATTTGACTACTTTTGGACTGTTGAAAAAAAACACCCGTCTACTCCCATTCTAACACTTGGAAGAGCATGGATGATTTTTAATATAACTCCGATTGGATTCGTCTGAAAGAAGAAAGTCATATACACCTAGGATGCCTTTACTAGGGTGAGTAAAACATGGGCTAATTTTCATTTTTGGGTAAACTAACCCTTTAAGCAATGCTTGGGTTTTCCAAATGATGCTGCTGTGCTGAGGTAGAGGGTGTGTTGTGTTCCTGCAGCCCTGGGCGCTCTCACATGCCTCCTCTGCTGTCATCACTCTCCACGCTGGTGCTGTATCTCCGGCGGCAGCAGCACTCCTCGTTCCGGTCTCTGTCGCGTGCTCCTCCGTCCGCCGAGGCCTGGCGTCTGCTCTGCCACTCCAGCCTGGCCCTGCTGATCCTCTACAACCGGCACCGCGAGTGTGAGGTGGCCAAGCTCACGCTGCAGGACTACCGCAGCCGCGCTGCTCCCTCCTCTCCCTCGCTCGACTCCTCGCTCTCCCCGTTCGAGCGCGCCGTCCTCGGCCAGCTCCCGTGTGTTAGCGTGCTGGGCAAACGCGGCCGCCTCCAGCCGCTCATCCTTCCTCCGCACTCGGAGGCGTGTCTGGATCTGCTCCTGGAGACGTCTGCAGACGTGGGCGTGGATCCCCAGAGCCCCTATGTGTTCTCCCGGCCGTATCACTCCCCGGCCACGCCGCTGCGCGGAACCGACCTGCTGCGGAGCCTGGCGCGCTCTAGCGGCGCTAAGAACCCCGCGACGCTCACCGCCCCCCGCGTGCGGCGACAGGTGGCCATCCTGACCCAGCTGCTGCTGCTGGAGGAGGGAGAGCGCGCCGCCAAACGCCTGGAGGACTTCCTGCAGAGGGAGTATCACGTGAGCCAGAGCTGCGCTCGGATTGGCCAGGACCCGGCGCTGATGAACCGTGTGGGGAGTGTGGTTCTCTACGGAGAGAGAGAGGGAGTGCTGTTCAGAGGAATGAGCCTGCAGCACATCTGCCTTGAGCTGGACGGTACCGCAAAACACACGCACCTCATCAGAAACACTGGGAAATATTGTTACAGATGTTGTCTATGTGAATCTCTGTTAAACTGTAATTTATTTCTGTGATGCGCAGCTGTATTTTCAGCATCATTACTCCAGTCCTGGATTTAAACATTCTTAGAAACATTTGGGATGTGTAAGTACACACATCAGCAAAATATATAACACTGTTCTAGTGGTTTTTGGATATTTTAATAAAAAAATCTTACATATTGTGCCTTTTGATAAAAATAATTATTAATAATATAAATGTTTTTTTTTTTTAAACCTCACTTATTCTAGATTGTTCAGGATTCACTGATGAATGGAAAGTTCAAAAGAACTGCATTTTCTTTTGAAGCACTATAAATGTCTTTACTGTCACTTTTGATCAATTTAATGTGTCCTTGATGAATAAAAGTATCTTTTTTTATATATAAAAAAACACTTTTGAATGGTAGGTTTTCACAAAAATGTGTTTTCTTGAGCAGCAAATTTCTGAAGATCATGTGACACTGAAGACTGGAGTGATGATGCTGAAAATACAGCTGCGCATCACAGAAATATATTACAGTTTAACATATATTCACACAGAAAACAGCTGTTTTACATTAGAATAATATTTAACTGTTTTACTGTATTTTTTGTCAAATAAATGCAGCCTCTGTGAGCAGAAGAGACTTCTTTCAAAAACATTCAAAAATCATAATTAATCCAAACGTTTGTTCAGTAATGTAGTCATGCATGTGGTTTTGACATTACTAATATTACGGATGCATAAAGGAAACAATAAATTAATAACACGCAGCTTTTTGTTCTTAATTAACAAAAACAAATGCATTACATTATATTACATTTGTTTTACAATATCTAGAAGTAAATTTATGCTAATATGTGCATACTTTGCAATGGTAGAAAAGTGGTTTTAAGAACGTGATATTAAGGGCTGTGATTTTGTCCAGCCTCCATTACTGTCAAGTTCTTCTGCATCTTAACATGAATTGGGGTTTAGTTGTTAACAATTCACTTTACTAAAAAAGATTGACCATTTTGCTTTTTGTTGTTGTGTTTAAATGCAAATATCAGAATTTACAATGATTCCTCATAAGCATGAGAGCGGCTCAGATGTGGACAAGCGTATTGTATCTAAGCTCAAAGGTGTGTTAAAGTGTTTCTTGTGTTTGTGTCAGTGATGTCGGGGAAGTCTGGCGACTCTTTCTCTGATGACTCTGATGCAGAGGCCAGTAAGAGTAAACTCAGAGCCGTCGCTGGGAAGAAGGAAGGGCCGAGGAATCGAGCGCCGCGGCCGAAGAAGAGCAGCGGCCCTCATCAGTCCACGGCACACAAGAGACGCAGCGCTCAGGTCAAATCAGGTCAGCACTGAACCACCAGTTCAGTCACATTTCATTAGAAGTCATGTTAAATCTGAGTTTGCATTCCGAAGAGAGTGTGATAAGTTACACACAAATCAGTCAAAACACACAAAAAAAGGTAACACTGTAAATAAAAAGCTTAGCCTCTGAAGTATATTCATCTTAACAGTGGCTATCCTTCCATGAAGAGCCAAACAGAGTGGAGACCAGCACAGAAGATCGCTCTTAATCTTATCCAGAAGAGACTGATAGTTCCACTTGGAAATGCGAGATAATGAAGGAAAAACTCTGATTCCAAGATAATTAAACTGGTCACTGACAGGAATCGTAGTGGGTAAGGTCTGAATCTCTGATTTAGCAGCTAAATTAAGGGGCATAAGTATGGATTTGTTCCAATTAATCTTATAACCAGACAGTTTATCAAATGTATCAAATAATTTCAAGCATTCCTTAACCGAGTCTGTGATGTTTGATATATACAACAAAACGTCATCAGCGTAGAGTGAAATTTTATGGGACGTATTCATACAACTTGTTGGAGCTATTGCGGGACATTGTCTAATCGCTTGGGCCAAAGACTCTAATGATGAATTAAGAAGCAAGGGTGACGGGACTAGTACGATGTATGATGAATTCAGCTCTATGTAAATATATGGATTTTAATTCTGATTTAAGAACATTTACTATTTTGGCTTTGGTCTCACACAAATTCTCGGCTATTGGACTGGCGGCTTTGCTCTTCGATTCTCGCCTTTTCCTGAAGGGAGCCCACTGCTAGCGTAACCTCCACGGTGTCACGAAGAGCTGTTTGCATGTCCTCACAGTTGTTTCTTATCAGACGAACATCCTCTTCCAGGGGTGTGTTCCAGAAAGCGGGTTTTGTCGGAAACTCCGAGTTTGTTAACCCCAGAAAAGGGAAACTCAGGGTTTTCGGTTCCAGTAAAAGACCAAACTAAACCTCTGGGTCAGTTACCATAGTAACTTAGTCTGTGAACCTAACCTGGGGTGCGTTTCCCAACAGCAACTTTGGTCGCAAGTTCCGTCGTTACCAATAGATTTCAATGGAACTAACTACCATAGTTAGCTAACGATGCTTTTGGGAAACGCACCCCTGGTCGGGAGCAGGTTTTCTTCGGTAAACCCAGAGTTTCTTTCGGTCTCCTCCCCCTTTTTCAAGCGTAAGCAATGTTTAAATCCCTCATTCATTCATTCATGCTGCAAAAATAGCTGTTGCCATGGTGAATCGTAACTTCGGAGCTCCACTGATCATGGCTTCTCATAGTCGTGGTGCACGCGCTAAACTAACCCTACTCAGAGTCGACTGAACTAACTCTGTTCAGCTGTTCAGAAGCCGAAAACTCAGAGTTTCCCGTCTCAGGGTAAGTCAACTCAGAGTTCAAGTTTTAACTCGGAGTTTGTTGAACCTCCTTTCTGGAATACACCCCAGAACTCCAAGTCTATCCGCAATCGGTCGAACTCTTCCTTAAACAGGTCCCTGATGAAGCTAAGGTGCATCTTTAACTCGTCGGCAACAAGGGCGCGAAGTTCCCCCTCAGGAACATATTTAGGGTCTTTAACTCGCGTTTTCTCCGGCGAAGCCAGTGTCAATTGAGGTTTTGGCATCTTCATTCGTAGCTCCGTTAGAAAGCCAAACGTTGATAGTTTTACTGAGAAAATAAAAACAGATTAAGGATACCGAGTCAGGGAGCAATCGAACTACACCACCATTGCTATCGCTGGGTCACGTGATCCCTGAATTACTTTCATTTTTGTATTTGCTGTTTTCATTTCAATTTTAATTAATGTTTTAGTAATTTTGCTGTGTTTTCGTCTTTTTACTTGAGATACTTTTA